TGAACTCAGATTGTTATGTGGTATAAGAAGCTAAAACTGGACATGAGTAATATCTGTTATATATAAATGACCCACCTGTTGATGAACATCAACACACACTATTTGAATTAGTTGAAAACAGCAAAAAGCGTTAAAAGTTGCTGCAAAAATCAATTAAAAAAGTTCAAGTTAAGTTGAATTAGATTTTCAAAAGATTGTACCTATATAAAGACATGCACATTTGCTATAAAACTTGTTTTATAACATAATCAACTGCATGTATTGTCTTACTGCTCTGCTCTGCTCATTCAGAGCAGAGCAGTCTCTGGCACTGATGGGTTTTTTAACATTTGTGATAATCTGAGACCTGTTGGATCCCAGATGGTGCAATGACAGCCAAGCTGCAGCATGCTGTATATTATGCAATGTGAGTAGCTAATACTAGCCATACTAATTACACAGCAAATATAAAAGGACTTAACATGGAATATATATGCTTTCTTTACAAGGAGGACTGACAAGCTTCATTGCAGAGATATTGTTGAAGGGTCAGAGATCTGCACGTTAAATAAATGATGCTGTGCCGTTTCTTATAAACTCATATTGAAGTATAATGTGTTAAAGGTGGGGTAGGTAAGTTTGAGAAACCGGCTCGAGATACACTTTTTGTTATATTCCATGGAATGCTCTTAACATCCCGATAGCAATGAATATCTTAAGTGCTTTGACAAAAAATCCATAAAAAAATGTCATCTGTGGAAGCCGTAGTACTGTAAAAAGCACGACCAATCATTTTAGCCGGCCTGGCTAAAATAACTGGATGGCCTACCTGCCTGTCAGCCTTCCATCTGTGCACAAACTTATCTCGTGCCCTCATTGGTCATGTGCACGTTCGTGTGTGTTGGAGGAGGGGCTCTGTAAGGAAGTGGTAGATTTTTTCCGGTTGTGTATTTTCAAATTCTAGCGATCTCGAGCCGGTTTCTCAAACTTACCTACCCCACCTTTAAAGCTCTCCTGCCTGCAAATAAAGTCAAATGGACACTAGCTAACTCAGGCTCTTGTATTTTGTATTAAGTAGTGCAGCAGAGTGCCAGTTTGTGTTCCAGAAATGGTGAATAAATGCTCTAGTTTAAAAAGATTATCTATGATAGCTGGTGTAGTTAATTCTGTGCAGCATGTATATTCACCCTTCTTGACTTGTTGCCATTTTGTGTGTGTATGTCTTTGTGTGTGAGAGACACACAGTAAAGTGCCTCTCAGCTATTCCAACTTTCTGTCTCGTAATTACCACTGTTCGATCCTGAGCACTCATCTCATAATTACAATATTTCAGATGGCACTTCAAAGCAGCGTGAGAGATGACTCTATATGTGAATCCTCCAATCATCCGCCACCCATCACATCTAAGGACACTGAGTCACTGCAACAAGATGCACATGGCTCTCAGAGTGAGCGATGCATAACGTGCCTTTTTAGATATGAATCAAACAATATCATTACGCAGTAGAAAGCTTCTAGAAGAGAGACCACTCCCACATTATCAATGTAGCATGCCTACAACATACAAAATACATGCCCAAATATGAAAATAGGAAAAATGTGAATAAACATTAATACATTAAACAAGTATTCAAATGAAAACAATATAAATTTGATCCAAGGACCATGAATATCAGTATTTTACTGCTATAGTTGTCGGGACATTTCACTTGATGTCTACCTGATGATGGTGCTAGAGGAACATTTCAGGGAATTTCAAACATTTATTCAATACATCCCCTTCGGAAAAATTTATTTTTTAAGCAAATTTAGTGGCAATTCATCTAAAAAAGTTTTTCTGGCTGGATTAAAGTGGTCGATCAGCTGACATTGCCAGAACCTAGAGGCTAAAAATAGTTGAGGCCTTTTTCAATACCTTGAACAAACAACAGCCAGTGGCACATTATACTCCACGTACACATCCACTGCTGGATATATGGTGTCTGAAACCTCCAGCAGCTCTTCTGAACACATATTGAACCAACAATAAAACCGATTCCTTCAACAAAACTTGCTGACTGTGAGTCAGAGGAATGAGTGAGAAGCTGCCACAGCTTGTCATCCTCCCTCCGTAAGTACCGTGCCATTTACAATGAACAGTTTCCTCCTTCCTCCCAGACAGATAATAGCCAGCATCCATCAGAACCCCACAAACGACGAGTTTCATCGATTACCGTCTGACTGGGGAGGCAGAGCCACAGAGAAACAGACTCAGTCTCAGAGACATGAGAGCTGTGAGAAGTTAGAAGAGAGCAGAACGGGGGCAGCGAACGCCCCACAGAGAGGGAAAACAAAATGGAAAACAGAAAAGGAGGAAACTGATTATCACCTCCCATCTATGAACGATAACAATGTGCGCTCCGCTGAAGGCTCCATGTTTGGGCTGTTAATGACATGCACAGACCGGGAGGGGGTGGGGAGGTGTTCCTCCAACACAACCTGCCACATCTCACAGCCTAGACAACTGCATAAGAGCGAGATTTACTCTTATAATGAAATCCTTTGCTTGCTAGTTGCTTAGCAACAAAAACACTGATTCATATGGCACATACCGTATGCACCTGACACTGCATTTCTGACACTTTGGAGGAAGGTTGATTTTTCGATGAGAAAAAGAAGGTGAGAAGAAGACGGGGCTTAGTTACCAAATGAATGCCGGGAGAGAAAAAGCAGAGGGGAAGATTTGCAGTGAAAGGATGACCCGTCCCTGGCTGACTCCCACAGAGGAGCACAACAGGTTGGTGGAGTCACCAGCTTCACTTGGCACAGTCTGAGCAAAAACAATAAATCTGAATGTGCTCTTGTATTTACATTTGAGGGTGTTCGACTGTGGACTCTGAAAGCAACAACCTCATTCTGATCCTGTTTTGACTGAGATATTTCTGCACATGTATTAATACAACTTGGATAACGCTGATGGATTTTTCCAAATATTTGAACAGAGCTAAAAGTCTTCTCAAATCAATATTAGCTTTCAGTCATCTATATAAGTAAAAAAAAAAAAAGCTTCTCGAATGTGAAGATGTGCTGCTTATTTCTCAGTTTATCAAAACATCTTGTTTATCATGCGTTTGGAATTTGTGTTAGGGTAAAAAAGCTATCTAAGGACATTACCTTTGGCTCTGGGAGCTTGTGATGAGGCTAAGCAATGAACTGATAACCAAAAGCATAACAGCAGATCAATCACTGATGAAAGTCGCCATTAGTTGCGGCCCTAATTGTTACCAGCTTCAACCAAAGCACATAAACGACACGTCTCCCTTCAAAAGGTCAGCACCACCCTGCATGCAGCCTTTGCCATTTTCCCTTGTCCACCCTCCCTTTTTGAGAGATGAATGCACACACATCAGGTCAAAAGATAAACTGCTCTATCTCTGGCATATGTTATCAGCTTGTCCATCTTTGTCCTTTATACGAGGAAGGATACAAACTTTAAGATACAGGTAGAGGCCGATAAACATTCCAGATATGTGTTTTCCAAATACTGGACTGCAGCCAGCTTAGGGCAGATGGGGTAGGGACTATGGTGAAACAGGAAATCTAGTGGCAGTGTGCCTTAAATGTTATGAAAATGATTTCTGGGGATTACAGTGTGGCAGGAGAGTTAGCCTCCACACAGATATGAGAATGTCTGTTGGCCATCCAACAATGTATGACAGCTGACGTGCTCTGTGTTTCCTGAATCGGCAAAACTATTCTGACTATTTGTGTCAAACAAATCGTGCTACATGATTCCCTTGAAGCTTTCAAGCAGCAACAAAATAATACCTCAAACTAAATTGATGGGGACATATACCATGGGAAACGCTTTGCGTGACAACCATTCATGGTCATGAAAGTATCTAACTTTTCAACCTTTAAAATCGTATCGTTTCTGCTTCATATGTTTTTAAATCTTAAAAGGGTGAATTCTTCCAAACTACTAAATTAAATGTGTATCGAGGTAAATGGTGCTGTGAATGGGATTTGCTTTGTGATGACAGAATTGTAACATTACATTAAGATTCAACAGTAACAGCTCATCCCAGACAGTGTCCCTGTTACTACACAGAACAAACAGTGATACGTTTTCATAGGAACTAATTAAAATAGTTCCAGGACAAAATGTTCACAGATGGTCTGCTGGTTATCCTGAATAACAGGAAAAGTGTTTCTTTAAAAATAAGTCATCATTGATTTTTGTAATTTATTTGTTATTTTTACTGCTTACAGCAGCACTAATGACATTTCTTGTTCCCCGAGTATACTTAAGGGGAGGCAGAAATCTCAAGAGGGAAATATCTCAAAACCTGAAGAAAATCTAAATAGTTTGCAATAATTAACGCAAGAGGAGATATTAGTTGGGGAAATATGTGCTTGTTTGTTTTTATTTGGGTGAACCAACCCTTTAAAATGTTCCACATAATCTCAAATCTGAAAATATGCTTTAAAAAGGATTTCTTAAAAAACAGAAATGATAGAGTACTACTGAGATTTAAGAAGAATTATTAAATCCCCACTGAATACTTTTAATCTGCTATGATGCATGTTGTACATAGAGGGAGCTTTTCAATTCAAACAAAAGACCATTTTTATATCCAAATATCAAACACATTAGTTACATAAGGACAAAAAGCAGTTTATAATAATGTAATGTTGTATATAACGTGCTTATGTGTAATCATTTTCCAATCAACCTGATGGAAGAAATAGAGAGTGGTACACCAACAAGTGTCAGCTGCACTTAAAAAGATGTTGCTCAGTAAACTCAACTAGTAAAATGGTGTCTATTTGTTACTATGACACATTCAACTGGGAGTAGCAGTTGATTATGCATGCACATACTCTGTGGATTGGGCCTTGACACAGATTTAACTACGAGCCCGTTTCATTAAACTGGCTGGACACATTGGTGTCTCGCACAGGCTGTTGTACACAACCCATAGGCTTATAATGTAGTCATTTTGTTGGGGTGTGGTGGTTTATGAAATGACCTGGCGTACCTTCTTTTTGGCGTTACAGTGGCAGCACACAGTCCACAGGTATTTGAGAGTTCTCCACAGTAGGATTATGAAGAGACCCCCAAAGAAAGTGACCATGGAGGAGGCGAGGAAAGCCCACCACATCCGCTGGCCGTTGCTGTCACAGGGCACATCTGGTGAGAAGGGGATGATGACATTCATCTTGGAGATTTGGATTGAAGGATCCGGGTTGAATTTCTCCCTCTTGGACATTATGGGCCACTGGTCACCTGCCAGCCCCCCAACAATCCACTCAACCGGGATTCAGGCGCTCTTCGGAGCTCCAGCCAGCGCCCACTGATGCCCCAGCGGCTCAGCCATGTTAAGTCAACCACCTTCCGCTCCTCTGCCTTTTCATCTGCCTTCACCAAGCAAGGCCGTAAAAGTTGAGTCGATAGACACACGCACAGTAATAAAAACTTCTTTTGAAATCAGGATATCAGATGTGCGCCTCACGATGCGCGTTCATAGCTGGAATTGCGGTTTGATCCGTGCGTAAAAATCCAATTGTCACCGTAAACATTCACAATTTCCCTTACTGTCCCGATGGATAAAACTGAATAAGCACAACTATTATATAAAAGAGAGACGCTTTCCCTGCCAGGCGATGGATCCACTCACTCCACCTTGTTCAGCAGCGCAGCTTTCAGCAGGTCCGCTACTTGAGCTACGCACTGTTGAATGCGCTCCTCCTCGCGTTAGAAAGGTCGCTGTTTATCGATATCCTTTAATGTAAATCGGTTGAAACAACGAGGGTTTCTTGTATTGAGCAGCGGAAATAGTCATTGTCGCTCTCCGGGCTCCTGCTGCCGCCCGTCACATCCATTTGTCGGGAGATGGCATCGCAGATTTACAGGTAGTGGGGGAGGAGCCATCAGTAGCAGACGTCGATGCTTATCTGGATGTCTGTTATTTATAGTGACCGCTTCATCAATTTTTCATGATTAGAAATTAGTGGTTACAGCCTTGTTGCTTTGAAAGTATTAGTGGGGACTTTCAGTTTGTAAAACGAATGACACCAAGACTCTACTTTTACCTCATTTTCCTTGCGTCGTAAAAACATATAAAAGGGTACATTACGAGTTTTCTTTGTTCTAAATGGAAGAATTTACCAGAAGAACTGTAAACAGTACTACAACAGATTTGTAGCAGAGGATCAACACACAATTGTGTATTAAGGAATTTAAAAAACACATCCTCCTTAAAGTAGCCTATTAACGTAATACTTCTAGGCAGGAGCATATCCAACGATGGTCAGCTCTAACATTAAAAAAGGAGAATCACATCTGTTCATCAATTTAGAATATAAACAATATGAAACTATATCCACAGACGGTTATTAAACAAGTGATTAAACAGTGGCATCTCCTTCAACAGTGGCAGTTTACTCACCCTAGTGGATAAAAGGAGCATTGATCGTCGAGGTCCAAACTATCATAAACCTGTTAAATCTACCAAATGCTAGAATAAAACTATACAAATTCAAATTATAAAAATGGTTACCCACACAATATTTAAAATGGAAAACACAGACAACTTGCATTCCAATAAATGTACTCCGTTTTTAATATTTTATAGAAGTATTAACCTTCATGAGGAGAAGACCTAAAGTGTTTCATCCAACTTGAACATGAAATGCTGAAAACGTGAAAATCCAAGAGGTGTATGTAAATGTGTAAAGTTGACAGCCAACCATGAACCACAAATAAAATATCCCTTCTTTAAAATCCACTTGACAAAGAGGAACGGTATTGGCAATACCAGTAGAAAACAAACTGGGACAAACTGTGGTGCAAAGAAAATACCTGCTGTGTAATAAAAGTTGTAGTGTTAATAAATCCAACAATGGATGGTGAGTAGCAAATATGTTTAGCTTGGCACAACATTACTTTTTGGACTGAAATGATGAATGGAAAAAAGACAATGCCACCAGAGCAAAAATATAACAAGACTGCAGCATCATGTGAAGATAAGAAGCAAATTTGCCTCAATTTCTCTATAAATAAGAACATTAATTGGAAAATATCATCCTTCCTATTAACTAAACAACTACATTTGTATAACAAAAGTTCATAACCAACATCTTTGATTTGATTAGATAAATTAAATGGCAGGAAAATACGTATAAATATAGAGACGGGAACACAGTGGTCCACTCTTATCTTCACTTCAAGAATAAAGTCTTCATTTTTCATCGATGCATACTTCCTGTGGTCCGACATATTCATGGGACAAAGTGGGATTAAAAGGAGTGCTACTAGATGTAAGGGAAAACAAAACATTCAAGTATTAAATACTAGTGTAAACAAATCTATCTGTAGTACAGTACATCACTATTGTAGTGGGAATATGACATGATCATCAGTGCTCATATTGCTATATGTGAAAAAGCATTGGAGTTAACCATGTTAGCTGTACCGATTCTCCGTGTACCCCATAATAAAAAACACCCCTTCTCTTCTGCTCGGAGTGACGTGCAGTGACAGTCGAGACTACGGTGCTCCACCTGGAATCCACAGTACTTTACTCTGCTCCTGCTCCACGATGGTCAGGACCTGAGTGCAAATGTAGGAGACGCTGCCTCCTTGGACAACGCCTGCAACACAGTGGGGGGGGGGGGGGGATTTACATGAGAAGTGTTAGGCATTTCTGTCAGATTAGGTTTAAACTTTGCTTTTTGTATATGACCTTCTAGCACTGCACCTAGCAATTGTTATTGTATATCAAGTAATTATGATATTGCATTACATCTGCCACCATCTTCCTTGCAAAACCTGGCAGGAAATACAGAGAATCTTTTTAAATGTAGTCTTCAGCTTATAGCCTCAGTCAGAAATGGGGCAACACTTCTTTACACACCCAGAGTCTTTTCATTTTCACAATTATATTATAGCTCTAACTGATGCTGCCTAAAGTGTTGTCTCTTGAGGCAATGTCTCAGATTTCACTCAGCTCTCTCTGGAGCCATATAAGGCTTTATACAACTTATTTTGCATATACAGTCCCCAAGACTTTCATGTGTAAACAAATGTAAGTTCCTTTTAAATCCCGAAGGCTGTAAAATGTCAGATCATTGTGAGAAATTCAATGTTTGAATTGCATTAAGACCATGATTACATTTAATATATAATAACAATATCAGATCTATAAAAAAAAATGTATGCTCTCATGGAGAAACAAGACTGAGTAGCAAATGTATTTCAGTGCTGGACATCTTGCAGCTCCTTCACACGACAAGATACTTAGATTTATTACAGGTGACAATTACAGAGCTGGTTGTTGTGGCTCATGTGCAAAGTTGTGAAGGCGACCTCTTGCTGTTGGAAAGGATTGGTGGCAGTATGTGTTAATTTCCAAAGTTCCCTATAAATCTCCTCCTTCCATAGAGTCATTAATCAGCCGGACAGTCGGTGTGTCAGACTGGCTGCTGCTCCAGATTCCAAAACTTTATTTCATAAAAAGACTACAGAGATACTGTGCTCCAAAAACCTCAGATTACCTCCAGTGCTGCTGGACACTCACATTTGTTCAACTAGACCATAATAAATAACTTTCTTTTTCATTCATAACTTTTAACTGGGTTTTTAGATCATTTGCAAATGTTTTGTCTTTTTTTTGTGGTAAAAGACACCCTTGCAATGTAACCGACTCCACCTTTTAAAGGGCCATTTCACCTTCATTTATATTAATGTCATGTTTTGTTTAGAGGTCTGGTGCTGATATTTCTGTTGCCACAGCATAAAATGGAGGCATTTTATTATTCTTTTGTATCACTTAAATCATTCAGAAAATTACAATTTAATAATCTGCTGTGACATAAGGGTTTAAAAGATGAACTTGTATTTACACACTTGTGTTCTGTCCTGCAATCACACTTAAATTAGGTGTTGTTATTACCATTATTCCTGTATCCATGCCATTTATAGCCTTAAAAAGGGATAACAAGTTATTTCCACCAACCTGTGAAGAAGCGGCTGTACTCCTGCTCTATTTTCTGTGCCGCCTCAAACTGCTCCTTGGAATGTTTCTGTGAGAGTTTATCCCGCAGGTACAGAGGGTCCTTCTGCTCTCTGAGGAGACAACATCAGCACCTGTCAGCATCCACAAAACTATCACTTCACACTTCAATCACAGAATCAAAACAAGATGTAATACCAAGGTGTGGGAGGAATCAGCATTTGTCAAAACTAGTACATATTTTTGCAAATAGGTGTTGTCGGTGTTTGCTCTTTTCACTCCTACAAATCTCCCTTTGCATTTATTGTAATTGCCCTTATTTGTTGGACGCTCAATTTAAACCAAACTCCCTGTTATTCCATTCGCAACGCAAGCCTAAACACATTAGCACCAAGATCTGATCCATGCTAAATATGTCACTTCATTTATTATGCGCACTGCAACAACCTTAAAGTGTAACTGCAGGATATGACTGCATACTCCGGTACTATGCTTGGATCATGTAGGTTAAAATATTATATTGTTTTATGATCATCTGAATAATAAGTGTATATAAGGATTTTAAGCACGTAAATGAATGAGATCTACATATGAGAATAAGTGAGGAATAACTACCCTAACAAGCTTATAAGTGCTTAATCATATTCAAGTAAAACATTTTGTCAATTAATTAAAAATACCATTCGATTAAGTAAAACTGCACCAACTGGGCCAAAATTACCATAGATATTGTATAAAAGGGAAATCCTGCATGACTAAGCATACAGAGCTTTTATGACACCTCTATGGCAAACTCTTCCACTGCACTGGTTCACTCCATATCCCCATAGTCTTAAGATAAGTCATGTGACTTCTCAGTCTCCAGTCTATATCCAGTGGGAGCCCCTGACCAAAGCCAGAAACCCACTCCCATCTCTCCCGGGCGCTCGGTGCTCATCAACATATTGGTCTGCCGGTGCCTCCCAGAGGATAAAAACACATAAAAAAGCCTGAGTTCTGTCAGTCTCTGCAGCAGGCAGGCAGTGGGAGGTGTGGTTGTGTGTCTGTGTGTCTGTGTGTCTGTGTGTCTGTGTGTTTGTGTGTTTGTGTGTTTGTGTGTTTGTGTGTTTGTGTGTTTGTGTGTTTGTGGCGTCTGCTACGGGCGGGGGAGGAGAGTGTTTTAGCCGCCCACGCCACAGAGCGGAGCCACAGGACCTGTGAGCTCTCCCTGGACAGCTGGCACTCAGTTGATGACAACGAAAGCTTAGCAGGAATCAATCTCCACCATGTTCGCCCGCTGCACCACTTCATAGATTTGAGGCCGTGGGTGTGTACACGTGTGGCAGAGGAAGCCTGTTTCTGCCAGACCTGAATGCATCTTTATTTGTGTGTGTTTGCATGTGTATGAAGTACCGTGCAGAGGGTTCAGGAGATTTAATCTTGCCATGCCATTACAAATGAAAAAAAGCAGAGGGGATCTTTGAAATATCACAATCATCCTATCAAAATCTCAGCGGGCTGTGGGATCTGAACTAATGACACTGATTAAATCAGATTGATCAATTAGTTTGTGTTGCATCTGCAGGATAAATATGATTATGAAAGCAAGAGGACCACTGCGGAGTTACATTTCCTGAGTTTCTGTAAAGATAGAACATTAAGTGAAACATTTTATTTCCTGTAATAACTTGCAACCACATGAGATATGAGTTTTTTTATAGAAAAAAAGCTTTGTCATTCTAAGAAACCGTCTTATACCTAAACATTTTGATGATAAAGCATGTTGGAAAGTCGACATTAATCTGAAAAAATGTAAGTTATTGAATTAGATGCTACTGACACTTGTATATGTTCATGTGAATTCATATTTTGATATTATATAAAGCATGAATTTCTATAAAATCCCATTTCCAAACAAAATATTCTCATAAATAGCCTCCAGGAAAAAAAAAAACCTTGGATGAATGATTCTCTCAGTGTGTCGTTGAAGGATCTGAACTTTAAACTGGAAACGGGTAAACAGCAGAAGCATCAAAGCAAAGGCACGCTTGACATACACTTGACATACACTTGACATGTCTCAGACCAAGAAAGCCAAAAGCAATGGAAACAAACATGAACATATAGAATCATGGGATTACTCACTTTATCTGCTTGGCATTTTTGTAGCGAATGAATATGACGATTGGGTAGATGTGAACGCTGTGAAGACGCTCGATGGCGTGAGGGACAATGTCAAGTAAACAGTGACAGTCCTATGAGAGAGAAAATGAAAGCAAAAAAACTGCATGAGAAATGGGGGGGGGTGAATCAAAGCAGAACAAATAAAAGCTTATATCTGTTTCTCTTTCTTAACAAGGGTTTCTTATATAAAGTAACATCCAACATTAGGTTGCACTTTTATTTATCAAAGTTCATTTGGACTAATCAAAAACCATTGTAGACAAATAAATCTGAATATTGAAGCACACATTTAGATTGACATACACTAAGCTTCTATCTGCAGCCTATAGTTTGAAGACAGCGGCATTGATTTGATCCACAGTTAGATGAATGTACCTTCTCTGTTATCTCTTTTATTGATGCTACAGTTGTCACATCGAAATGGCCACTCCTCCGTTTGTAGTCGATGAAAACACAATCCTTTACTCCGCGCTCTATCGCCTGCTGAGATGCCTTCATGATCTCTGGAAGGGGAGAAAAATGAAAATGGTAATATTTCACTCAGATTTGTTCGTACCTTACATCAATTTAATAATATTTACATTTTCTAAAAGTAGTAGTGAAATCCCACTCTGCAGATCATCGATGATATAAACCGGATGAAAACCCAAAATCCTTCATGAATAAATAAACTCTAATAACAGATTACCCACCAGGCAGACAGCGACAGAACTGAGCAGGAGCCTCCTTCACCAACATGTCCTTACTGGACTCCACTAACGGACCCAGGATCAGCACGGGTCTGGGGAAAGAGCACTCCACCCTCTGAACCCGCTGGTACATCAGGCTCACTCCGTCTGGGCAGGAAACAAAACAATTCATTACAAAATAGTAATACACAAGACTGCATAGAGATACAGCTGCCATTGTTATGATCTCAGCTACACATTTATGCACCTTGGAAAATGTTTTGTTAACCCAGCATGCTTTTTAATAAACGTTCATATCTGAGAACTACCTGGCAAGTCTAGCTTTTCATTCATTTTGAGTTAAAACACATAGTATAATATTTTTGAAAAGTCATGGTATACTAGGTCGAAAATATCAGAAAAGCCACATAGTATCCAGAAAATATTTGCATTGCATTCCGCTTCCAGGTCAGTCTGTCTGGTCCAAAGTCTCACTTTGAAACAACTTTTTAAGTGATTTCTAACCTTCTGTGATGGGTAAAGAATCTGTGCTTATTGCGTCCAGAACCATCAGCTCCTTCCCGTCCTTGGATCCGCTGCGTTTGTGCTTCAGCCTGCGGCGGAAGAAGGATCTCCGTGCCGCGGCCGACAGAGACTTGTTGGTGCCGTTATCGTCTTTCATATCGGCCATGCCGTGCCTCTTGTAGAAATCCTGGTCCATCCTTATTGAGATATAGAAGCACATTTAACTCAACTGCAGTCACTCCCCTCTTCATGACCGTAACACGTGGGGAACAAAGTGCTCATTGACATAACAACGAAGGATCAGAAAACTCGAAATTCCAGTCTAGAAAGTAGTATTAAATTAACTCTAATCAAATCAAGTTTTATTTATATAGCACATTTTTAAACAATTTTTGGTCGAGCCAAAGTGCTGTACATACAATAAAAATACCCTACAGTAAAGACACTTTACAGCAAATACAACAGCACAGTTTGTGCAGAATATCAGTATGAGAAAATGACACCCTCTGTCCTTTAGACCCTCACATCGTACAAGGAAAAACTTCCGGAGAAAACCCCACAGTTTAAAGGGAAAAATGGGAGAAACCTCAGGGAGAGCAACAGAGGAGGGATCCCTATCCCAGGACGGACAGACGTGCAATAGATGCCGTGTGTAAATCGAAGAGATAATACATTTTACAGCGTAGGTAGACCGAATGATATAAGAAAAGTAAATCAAAGGCTGGACTTACATGTATTTACTTGGGATCTGCCCCTTTACGAGCTTCTGTGCATTTTCGTCCAGTTGCCAGGCCATCCAGTAGCCAAAATTGCCATTTGGTAGCGTATCTTCAACATAGAGGATGTCATCTTTCTTAAAGCTCAGTTCCTGCTCTGCCTCTGCCACCCTCTCATAAAGTGCTCTGACGAGAGATGGACAACAAAGCAGTTATGGTGAATACATTTGTCTGAGCTTTGAACAAAGACATAAGAGATTGAGAGACAATTTCACAGAAGATTTTGAACAGAGAATAGTTTACAAGATTTTGCCCTTATATGTGAAACTTGATTTGCTGCAAGTTTGAATTGACTGATAAAAAGTGTTTTTTACCTTGTGAAAAATCCATCTCCCGGGGCCTCTTTGATCGCAGAGAGGTTGTCCACACAGTTCTGGACCTTGAATGTGATTGTTTCAGCTGGTTTTAACATTTCCAGGTAAGCCTCCTCTTTAGTTTTGTTCTTCATGCTGATTCCATTGTACTGTTTGAAAACATCAATTATGTAATTGACAAAAGAACACTGCACTAGGCTGCCAACACAGAATGACTCATCATTTTCAGTAAAAGCAATACAAACAATGCACCGGAACATTTATGGAATATAATACCTCACACACACTTATGTGAAATCACATCTGCTAAACATAGAGGAGATCTTGAACTTGAAATGCATAACTGTGGAGTGCTTTTGTCAGGTCACAGTGAATCCTGTCATCATTTCAAGGTCTGGCATTGAAGTAGTTACTTTGGATGAAACTATGAGTAGCTAGGTAGAAAGCCCCCAGAATGTGGATCAAATAGGACAAATGTAGCTTCTTTGTTTTCACTTTCAACAACATTTATATTTAGCATGTGTGTTGTTTCTTGTACTGCATTGTCCCCTTTCTCCTCATCATATAATTATGGAGTCTTATTTTGTTATTGATGTGTTTTGGAAAGAGGAAGGAAAGAAAGTGATTGGCTCAGCAATAGCACAAGCAAATAAACAAGAGGGTGTACTCATTCAGTGAGACCGTGAGGTTTTCAAATTTCGAGGTGTGTCATTGGAAGCCCGTTCTGTCCTGTGAATCATTTTTACTGTGCACATGACTTCCTTAGTTAATTAAAGTGATTTCATTGCAAGTACCTCGAGTATCAAGTCTCCAGGCAGCAGGCCATCAGGACACTTAGCAGGGCTGTCATCATCCAGACTCTCCACAAAGACGCCGTAAAGGTTTCCTCCACAGACCTGAACTCCCATCTCCACCTGGATCCTCTTCAGCCTCACCAGCCGAGGCTCGGCAGCCCGCCACGTACCGGAACCAGGAAGCCTGAAGAAAAAAACGTTCATTCAGTCAAGTTTTGAATTATAATTGTTTTCACTCTAACACCACCACCATTTCTACCAATAGCTTAAAGTCTGTATTCATGGCTCCAGCAATAACAAATTTACATTTTTATTGAACAGGAAAAAAACTCATTGTGAAATACATACTGGATATGACAAATGTGGGACAGAATACACTTAACAAAAAAAAAGCAGTTTTGGTGGCAACACAAATATGTCCCAGTCCTACCTGAAGGAGCTTTGAGGGCTGGTGGCGGGAGTGGTTTGTTTGGACGGCGGCGTCATGGTGCCCTCGTCCTGCTCACTCAGTGTGTCGACGATGGAGTGATTGTCGGGGGTGGTGGCTCCGCTGTCCTGGGGGGTCGGCTGGTTGCTGATGGACTCCATACGAGAACTACGGACAACAGGAGTCAAAGTATTTTGTACTCTAAGCAAAAGGTAATAAAATAAAGGATATTCATTGAGTTTCTGATATAAGATGATGATCTAAAAGACAGTAGTTAAACCCCCCTGTCAGACCCCCTTTTCTGATGGCTAACTGAAAAGTTATCTATGCCATCTTCAAAGTTTCAAGACTCTTTTGACAAAAACTGCAATTTTAGCACAGAGTTGCTAGTCTACCACTGCCTACATCTGTTAGTTTGTTAAAATACTCTAGATTCAGGGTTCAATTAAACTGATATTTACTTCACAACATTTTTTTTAGGTGGCTAAAACATGGTTCACTGATGCACTAATAACAGCAGTCTCTCTGCCCTCCTGTTTGTTTCTCAGAACTTTACTGTACTGTAGGTTGTACACTGACTGATGGATAAGTATCTCATAAAACCCTACTTCAAACTATCCTTTTAAAAGAGAAGACACACAAGCTGTTGCATACATTATGTGAAGAGTGTTTTGAATATTTACTCTCCGTTTAGCGCTTGCATTTCTCACTTGATCTGGTTGGATTCGATTTTTTTTATTTGGCCCTGCAGTGTGTTATATGAATGTTTGCATTTTTATAATATCGTGTTTGCTGTTGACACATTGGTATGTGTTCATGTATTCACTGTTTGAATAGTACCATAAACATTCCATTTATGTTCTCACATTATACTGAAACAACTGTCACACAGGCTTTTTTTTGACAGAATGGTTGAATGAATATGGAATGAAAATGTATGAGTCATAAGTTATCCATCTAATGTATTGCTGTGGTGTTCCTGCCTCCTCGCCTTCTCACCCTGAACGAGAGTGGTTGCCCAGCTGAAACATGTGAGGATTATACTGAGCCAAAATGGTGACTGTGTCACACTGCTGCCCGATCACAAGCCGCGCCTGCTGCTCGTTGGCATTGCGAAGGTTGATTCCATTGAACTGGAAGAAACAGAGATTCATCAGACACAGAAAACAACAGCTGAATATAAAGTTGTAGTGCGGTAGCTGCTTTACCTCTAGGAGTTGGTCTCCGTACTCTAAGCGAGCTTGATGTGCGATGCTGCCTGCTGTCACTTTGGACACAAACACTCCCCCGTTATCTCCACTCACTATGGAGATCCCCAGAGGTTCTGCTCCTTTCTGAACAGTCACATTGCGCGGCTCCTCCAAGTACGGCCTTGAGGGGGGAAAATAGAAATATCATGTTCTGACACCTCTGGGAAACTACTCCTGGCAGGATGCAACAAGCAACTCTAAATTATATGAAAATATTATCATTTAAACTACAAATCCACAGGAGCAGCTGCAATTTAACTTTTCAATGAAATGTAGCTTTCTGAACTGTGTTTTACTTTAAGGCAAAGATGCATTGCGAACATCGAGGTTAAAAAAAGACTTAACAATAGGATATGGGAACAGTGTGCAACGTGGCAAGTGCATTTCAGAATCCAACTCCTGTCATGCAATCATACAAAATTCAACAGCATTCTGAATAAATAACAAGCAAGGAAAAGATGAGGACTTAAGGGATACAGATCCCTTAGCTCTTTTTGTTATGGCTATTCAATTCCAACAAATCTAGCATCACTGACGCTACATTAGATATCTGCAGTGTGTACACAGAAGGTCTTGATATCTGTGCTTTAACAGCCTTAAAGGTAGTGCATATACTGTATGTGCTGAAAGCAGGACAAACCTCAAGCTTCTTAAAGAGAGGAACTTGGGCTGAACTGCCAGTGGAAGTCTGACAGAGAGAGTGTTATAAGAAACAAATCTGAGAAGGAAACGGAGAGAGGAAAGAGAATAATCACCCAAAGAAGGAGAGGAGTATTTCAGGTTATAATGAACAGATGCAAAGGGGAACAGAGATGAGAACATAATGATAGATGGTGAGTAGGAGTTCTAATGATATGAGGATGGAGCCTCACAGCATTGTTTACTGCTTTAAGAGCACTTTATCACAATGAAGCAGACTGAAGTACAGACAAATGGTGGAAAACACGTCATGTTCTGCTGAACGATCGCAGCGTAACGACCCGGACGAGGGGCCTGCCTACCCTTCCTTCTGCCTGTCACCAGCTGGAGCGGGGCTGACTGATATCCTGGGCTGGGTGGAGATGGAGCTCTGCGATTGGCTGCTGATGAAAGACGATGTCTCCAGGTTGACAGGGGACATTGGAGGCGTCGGGCTGCTACACTCTGAATGTGAGAGGGAGCCTGGGGTGGCAGAGGAGAAAAGTATGAATTCAGACTTGTTGTTTACGCCAGTGACACTCGTTTTCAGATGATGGAGCTTCATAACTAAACCGTACCTCTTTCAGATCCAGTGGAGCGGGGATACCGAGTTGGAGGGATTTTTATGCGTTCTGCCCTGAACTGTAAAGTATTGAAGGAGCCTAAAGACCAGAAACAGAGGACAGTTGATAAAAGCTTACTAAAATTCACAGGGAGAAAAAACAACCCCACTTGCCTATTTAGTTAACAAGCCATGCAGTTACAGGGTTACACCCAGGATATTACTTATTGATGTTGGGGATCTGTTTTTCCCGAAGTTGCGCTAGACTGCTCTGATAAATTACTTCAATGATGCTCTTTGATGTGGCTGATCAGTCACTGTCATCTCCTGAGCCGAGTCAGTGTGATACATCTCGTGGTCAAATAAGTTGCTAAATGAGGTCTAACACTATTGTAACGGTTTCCCTGAAAGCCACATACATTTGTTTCTGTTTTGAAAATGACAGTTCATTCACAGACATTATTATACAAGATATGATTTGCCTAAATGTGGGACTTCATGCGTACTCAGTCTGGCGCTGGATGGCAGGGAGTTTGTGCTGTGCGGTGGTTGGCTGACGCTCGTTTCAGTCGAGTCCCCAGTGCGCTTGTGGCTGAGGTCCAGGCTGTGGCGAACCTGATGCTGGGGGCTAAAAGTGTAGAAAAAGGCCTCAGTCAGTTCCCCTGTGGTCAGTCGTTCAACCCAGAGCAAGATGTTATTTGACACATGCCATCTGTTCATGAGTTCTGTGATTGGGTAAACACTGTGAAAATAAATCCTAAGACTGCAACCAATGATTACTTTCAGTATCAAACACTCAAAGAAATGCATCCATACATCTGTAAAATGTCAGAAAAATCACAAGCTCCCGGATCCCAAAGTAACATCCACAAGTGTCCTGTTTTTGGTCCCAAGATATAATTTAATAATAATAATATTAATAATAATAATAATAAACAGAGAACACAGAACAAGTTGTGGTATGTCAATAAGAGTAGGGATATTATGAGATCTTCTGACTGTGACAAGTTGAAACGTTTGCTGTGAAAAGGGCCTATTTCTATAAACAAAGAACAACGAGGAGATGTTAACACCTTGTGTGTGGATGTAGGTGGACTCCCGAGCTGGGGGCTGGAGGAGGGTTGTTGTTGTTCTGGATCTCATGGCTCCAAGCAGTGTACACCGGGTTCTTTATCACAGCCGTCACAGCTGGACATGGGGCTAAACCTCGTTGTGCTGGATCTGGAGGAACACACAGAACAAGATCACGATGTCTGACTCGATACAGACGTCATTGAGAAGAAACTGGTACATTTCCATTCCTACCTCTCCCATTTATGTGCGTCTTCTATCTAGCATGAACAAAAGACAAATGCAAGGACGTGTTTCCTAGATGCAAAAGCAAATCAAAACATTGAAGTTGTTCAGGAGACTTACATGATGGGACGCTGCCGTAGCTGGGGGGTGCAAAGGGCATGCTGTACCGATTAGTTCGCCTGGGAGAGAAGCGCAACAAGTCCATTGGCTCTGGGGAGTGCTCGTCATTAGAGAAACTCTGTATCTGCAAGAAACAATCAAGCAGGGACAAGTCTGTAAAATGTAGAAAACACACATCAACAATAATATCAGAACAGATAAGAGCAGTATCTTAGCTACCTGCATGGGAAGAGGGATGTGTAATGGAGTAACTCTTGGCCGCAGTGCAGGCGCCGATTTTGGCCGGTACCTCCTCTTCTGCCGTTCCTCTGCTCTGCGACGACTCCCTTCGTTGTCAGGAGTTTTTTTGGCGCCACTCGTGGTCTCTCCTGGAGGAGCGTTGGTGTAGTAGAGCTGGTTCCCTGCCTCCCCCCCGTCCTGTGGACTTGTAGCTTGGACTGGGGATTCAGGTGGAGTGGCAGTGGTGATGGTGGAGTCTGACGCCGAGCTGTTCTGCTGGCGATGTTTGAACCTGAACGAGTCGCTCCTGGCTGGCGGGGTGGGAGGGGCCTCAGATATCGAGCTCTGCGGGGAGTGCTTGGGTATCTGAGAAAGAGACATGTAGTCCAGTTTCGGGGACGGCTCGGGTCTCCTGAAACCCTGCACATCGAAGATGGACTTCCTTTGCTTGACTTTTTTGTAGATGGAGAGCTGGGCACATTCAGTAATAGAAGCTACCGCTATGACTTTAGGCCACGTGCCTCCGCTGGGCTTCCCTGCTGAGCTCTGCACTCGGTCCACAGCCGTCTGAGGAGAGCTGCAGTCGGAGGGCACGGGGGTGAAGGTGAAGGGGCGATGGTGGAGCTCCGGCCTCCTGTAGCAGAAGTCTGGGTGGGGCTCTGAGGGACTGTGGGAGCTGGAAAGGGAGCGGGAGTGCACAGAGCTGCTGGGAAAAGGCTTCTGGAGGCAGTGAGAGCTGCTGTCGCTACTGTCTGGAGAGTCACATGCATCCTTACACACTTCATCCCCTCTGCTGCCCAAGTCACAGCTGCAAATGTCTGTCTGTGTGGAGCAGTTGTGCTTAGAGCAGTTGTGCTTGGAGTTCCTGCAGGTCCTGGCGTGGATCTCACAGGACTGGAGACGAGAGATCTTTTCTGAGTCTCTCAAACCTTCAAATAAACTCTGGCCGGAACAGCTCTGTGGGAGGAACTGTGGAGGAGGAGAGGTCAATAAATACTTATCTCACTTTACTTGGTTTTTCAGTGGCAAAAAATATATACTGTAAAAAAAAGTGTGTGTGCAAGTGTATGTGGGTCTGAGAGCTTCACCTTCATGAGGGAGATGCTGAGAAAATCACGGCAGTTTCTCAGCAGAGTCTCACATTCAGAGAGCGACTTGTTATCAAGTGCAATGCCATTGATCTGCAGTGGATGAACAAAATAAAGTTAGAGAAACTCCAAGTATGTCTTTCTCCAATTAAAATTAGAGATGAAAGCACACATAGTATATGTGTTTGATTATTGAGTGTGCTGCTGATGAACATTCAAATTTGATACACAGCAAAATAATTGTATTCTCCATGATTTGACACTAGATACAACTTTGGTGCAGATTTGATTTACAGTACAGAAATACACACCAAATTTCCTTGTAGCACACACATATTAATAAACATACATTTCCTGTCACCAAACTGCCAAGACTACATTCTTTGAAGGTCATTTCATGGTGTGCCCTTCAAAGTTTGACTTTTTTGTAGGTTAATTAATTGAGACATTAAACACGAGTGTGGTCAGTAGAGGGCACCAAAAGCCAACATCTCAAAACCTGGCTAATGCCATCAAATCATCATCTCTTATCATGAAAAATTCATATATTTTCTGTACAGCATACTCACAGCTAACAGTCTATCCCCGACAGTAAGAGCGCAGTCTCTGGCAGCTGGACTGCCTGGGGCCAAAGTGGCAACAAACACTCCACTTTCCAGACCTATGCCACTGTCTGAGAGGTTAGACAGAGAAAAAAAAAAATCATATTACATGTTATGTTATGTGTCCATCTTTCTAAAAAGTCAAACAAAAAAACAGCAGTATGAAAATGGGGAGGTTTACTTAATAATTAGTCCTTTATTTTACCTTTGTTTCCTGCCAGGTTTATCTGGATTGGAGTGATGATCCGTCCTCCCAGACTCTTCCTTCTGCGGACCACCATATTAATCACTCCCTCGCCGCTCACCACCACTTTAATCACTTGCTTCCTATCCTTATTGGTCAGGTCCACGTCATTTATTTTCAACAACCAATCGTTCACCCTGCACAGACAGATCCAGAGCAATGGTTGAATCATTAAATCCTCAAAATAAAACAAGGACACTAAATGCAATACGGGATAATAAATATTTTATTACAATAAACGAAGAAACATTTTAACGCTTAAAAATGTGCTTTAATTACCAAGTTGTCAAAGTAGTGAGGCATTTACCTTAATCTTCCTTCAGCCATACTTCCTTTATCCACCTTACTGACAAATATGCCACAATCTCCTGGTAAATAAGGATCATTTACCCCTTCAGCAATATCAAACCCAAGTGCTTTCAAATCCATGTCCTGAATAAGAAGAACAAAAACATAGATTGAGAGCATTACAATTTGGTTCACAGAAAGTTAAATTATTTTATATAAATGTTAAGATAACAACATTCACAGTGGTTCTTACCCTGTGCTTTTCAAATTCTACAACTTCCGTCTCCCACTCCATCGAGTCTGTGTCGATGGCTGAATCATGTGAACTGTGAGCCATCAGCTGACGAAACCTCGCTTCCTTTTCTAACTGATCTTCCATCTTTTCCCTGCAGGACACACAACATGTGTAGCTCTTAAGTAAGTACAGTCACCGATAGGAGTTATTTTGCTCAGTCAGTGACACACTTCCTCCACCGGGGGGCACAATAGATCTTGGATGAGATCATTCTGGATCCCCAAAACACAAGGAGCACAGACTCTGACACAAACTAAACTAAGTGAATAACATTCAAGGTTTGAACCTAAAAATAGGGCAGAAAATGAGATAAGTCTGTGAAATAGTTGAAAAGAAGCGTGGAGGAATGACTCACTTTAGTTCTTTGAGTTCCCGCGCAGCGTCGTTCTTCTGCTTCCTGGTGTCATCCAGATTCCTCAGAGCGTCTGCCAGATCACTCACAGCTCGGTCCCTCTCGCGCCTCAGGTTGTCACACAGCGTGCTGATGACAGATTCACAAATGTTCACACAAATCGGCGACAGACAAAGTGTAAACAAATATATTTTCATCCAGGCCTCTCTTTGCCAACATGTAACGTAAACAAGACATATTTCCACATAATCAAACAGACAGCTTCTGAACCCGCTCCTCACCGTATGCTCTCCCTCTCTGCCACTATCTTGTCCCTCTCCTGAAATGCCCAGTCTCGTCGGCACTTGGCTACCTCGGCCTCCTGCACGGCCTCCTTCAGCTCCTGAGAGATGGCCTCGTACTGCTTCCTCAGAATATCGATCTCCTTGTTGGATCGTTCCATGTCCAGAGTGGCAGAGTCTTCTTTCTGGAGAGTGGAAAGAAATGTCAAGTTGATTGAGGCAAATGTCAAGGTGATTTTGGTACTTTAGACACAACTCAAAAAGACTTATGCATTTGTGGATGAAAGATATTTATATTTATATTTATGAGAAACTTGAGGCTGTGTTCAATCCGACATTAGCACTTGGAACTAGGAAATGCAGCGTTCTCATTCATTTAAATGAGCCCTGGCTCAGCAGGGGTTCTTAAGCACAGGCTCCAGTACAAAAAGACAAAACAAGAGTTGTCTGGTGGGAAAAAAGGAAGCTGGCTCAACTTTTGCTGCAACATCCTCCAGCAACTCATGGCACATCAAATACATGCAAACACACTCTCCTGGTGGATAATTTATTAAATGAATGTTGCAATTTTTCTTTGAACTGTTCAAAACATCTGCTGTAAGCCTTCAAAGATTAAATTCATCATCATGTTTAACCATAAACACCTCAAATAAACTGATGTGAGCTAAAAGGCAACTCCCACACTAGAAAGATTGCTTGAGGTGTAACAGTCATAGATTGGATTAGCTACTGTGGTTTAAAGTAGGTCAAATATAGTATAATGAGTATGAGTCTCACTCAGTCTGCTGGTGTATATGTAGTAAATGTTCTCTCTGTAAATAACTGTGCAGCAGAGAGACTGCCAAACATAGTGAGAGCATTAATTAAGTCCATAGCTAAATTAATTCCATTAGACCTTACTGTACTGTTGTTTGGCTTAATTATCCCTTTCTGATGCAGTGCAGTTCTCTTGTGCACTTCAAAGTCTGAGAGCCTTTTCACTGTAATTGCTGCTAATTTCCTAATGCAGGAGTCTCCGGACCTTCATTTCCATTCATCTGACAGACCCCTTTGAAACAAACTGTGATGGGTGATACACACTTCAACAAAAATCAATGTGTGGAAACCTGCCAGCATTTACTATTACTATTACTATACGGGATGGGATGGAGGGATTATTGTTGGGGGAATAAATCAATCCCTCCATTTGTAATGATAAATCTCCCGTCTGTCTGGCTACCTGTCTGGCCTGGTAATACTCTCGCAGCAGCTGGTCCCTCTGGATGATGGCCTCCGTCCTCTCCTTGCGGGCCACGTCCCTCTCCTCTCGTACCGTCTCCATGTCCTTGCAGGCCTGGCTCAGCTCTTTCTGGGCCTCGGCCTTGTCCTTCACCTCGTGGCAGTATTTCTCCAGTAGCTCGTTCTTTTCACAGATGGCCCGGTCCCTGTCCACCAGCGCTGAGGCCAGCTCCTTCATATCACACAAATAGAATAAGATAGAGATCAAAAGAGTAAAACATTTATATTTTGTGCTTATCTTTTATTTAGATATCTAAGGTTTTTCTTATAAATATGATTTTTTTTGGTATTCATTCTCCTACTTGTCTGTTCCTACTTAGGATTGTTTCTTGGGCAGCTGTAACACTGAAATCTCCCGCTTTGGAATCAATAAAATATAATCTTATCTCATCTCACTGAACAAATTGTGCTACCACCACAAGCGTCCTATAGGGGGGAAAGTGGAGGATTACAAAGACTATTTTTCCTCTTGAAGCACATCCCTTTTCGCTTTTTAAAAACGTCAATGTGTGTCGTCCTTTTTTGAGCTGTAGCCTTTTAATACCAGTGTTGACACTATTGCTTTTACGAGTTAAATAAGCTCTGGGTGTTGCCAAAATTAAAAATGATAGCAGCTGTAACCAGCTTAACTACAGTGGATTGGGACACAGACATAATGCAATAAGTCATTCTTTGTCAATATTTTTGACAAACACAGCATTACCATTTTAAGTTTGAATCATTATCACATTATATTAATTACTTTTACAGATATGATCAACAAATCCATGATCCAAACAGTAATAATTGCTCTCCCAGTCTCTAATTTAAAATAACCTCCAACTATATACAGTTTTTAGAAAATATATTTGCTTTTGAAGTATACCCTTAAAGGAGCCCTTGATCCAGCTGTTACCTGTCTGAGAGCCTCCAGCTCCTCGCTGGCCACCCGTCTCTCTGAGGAAGTGTTCTTCAGCTTGGCCTCTGCCATCTCCAGGCCGGTCTGAAGCCTGTCCACCTCTTTGATCACCTGATCCCGCTCGCTCATGATCAGCCGGTACTCGTTGATCACAGAGTCCCGCTCCTCTTTGTATTTCTCGCCGTCTTTGGCCGCCTTGAGCTGCTGCGTCTTCAGCCGGGTCGCCTCTGACTGCAGCCGCTCCATCTCCCGCTGCAGCTCCTTGTTCTGGGAGGAGGCCTTGGACAGTTCTTGCTGCGTGTTGTCAAACCTGTGGAACAAAAAGAATGCATTGGGTCTTTATCAATCCACAAAACTAAAACATAACAAATAAAAAACACAGGCAAAAAAAACTTAGCATCATAAAGGCAACAATAAAATGGGAAAGCGTGTGCCCATCTGCAAAGCTTCAACAGCCTTGGATTAAGAATATTTTAAGCAGTGTGCCGTGTTGACCTTGGCATAACATTCAAGGTGTAAGTTTGAAGCAAAGTGTGCTGCGCTTGCTGTTAATCATTAAACATTTTACAGCTGCTCAGTCTGTGCGAGCTTTGTGTGTCCGGTTATATTTCCGGCTTCACCTTCTTATAGAGGAGGAGCACTGCTGCTGATAGTGGATGGCTGCGTCTCTCTGCTTCAGCAGCATGTCCAGCTGTTTCTGCAGCCGGTGGTTCTCCTCCTCGGCCTGATCCAGGCGACTCAGGTCTGCGTTGTGACCCGCCGTGTTATCGTTGTAGCGCTTCCTCAGAGCCTCGTACTCAATCTTCACGGTCTCCAACTTGGTCGCAGTAGTGTCGTAAAGCTTGCTGAGGACCTCAGATGACCCCTCTCTCATCACCTGGAAATTACATAATTCAGATGCCTTACTGAGTTAAAAGGTTATCTACAATGTAAATAATGAAACCATAATATATGTTAATAACGTCCAGAAAAATGAACTTAATACTGAATAAACTTGAACTAAAGCAAAGCTTCAGCCCTTGACTGTGTGTTGAGGTAGTGGACCAGAACAAGACTTAGAAAGAGAGATTCTGTAAAGCTTGACTTTTATGGACATCACTAACAGAAATGCAACCCTTCACTGCTGCTCCTGAAAAGTACGGTAATACTGCATGCAACTCTCTGCAACGTCTTGGTGCTCTGAATACAAATATAAAAATGGCACTCTGAGAGCACAGGCCTCTGCCAGGACCATGCCATAATGCTGTGTCAATGTGTTTTTTCTATGGCGTACAATACAAAAGGCATGTTTTACAAATGAGACAATAGAGTGTGCGGTAGGTCACTGGCATCTCACAACTAAACAATAAAAGGTTGTCATTGGACTGACATCACCAAGCTAATTTGATTCCTAAATTTGACTGGCGTTGAACATGAGTTTCCGTAATGATGACATGAGCTCTGAGGACAATGAGACATGTATCCTGGTTATCAAAAAGCCATGCAAGACATTCCCCATGGTTATGTAAGGTATTTCAAACATTTAATGATCCAACCTTCTGACTGCTGTCAGACAATAAGTCCGACGGTGAAATAGCAAGAGATGCGGGTCAAGTCATTTGTCTAATTTGATAGAATGTTTTGATCGATGCAGACATGAGAGGTAGAGCTTGTTTGACCCCATTTCTCTGAGTGATGTTGTGGTCTTTGGAGTAATGGTCACCAAGAGAGAATAGATTTCTGTCAGGATGTTAATGATTGAATCTGAAGGGCAGTCAGAGAGTGTGTGCGTACTACAGGATGTGTAGAAAGTTTGCAGATGTCTTTATTCTCATTAGCTGTGTAAGCATAAATGTAGATGGGGTTGCTGTTGTACCTGCTGGTGCAGCATCCTCATTTCTGCCACCTCCCTCTGGCCGTCGTCGTGCAGCCTCCGCAGCTCCTCGCAGGCCTGCTTCACGTGGTTGTGCTCCCTCACCAGCTGGATGTTGTCCTGTCTCATCGCCTCCAGCTCATCTTTCAGCTGGGCATGCTCGCTGGCCAGACGGCTGTGCAGCGTGCTGAGGAGGAACCACAGCAAGCACCGTTAGACTGTGGGCACTGTCACCCGGGTTTAAAATCACCGTTACAAGCAGAAATACAGCAATGCCTTATGAATCACAGAACTAATACTTAACTAGGGATTCTTTCACATAGGATTTTTTGGATGGATTTTTACTTTAAAACTTTTCATTTTAAAAGAAACATGCCTGTCACAGATTCCCAGAGCTAAAGTTATATCTTCATGTTGCTTCAACAGTCCAAAACCCAACTATTTACAATGATATAAAACAGTGTAAAGCTTCATATAAAACCCCAGAGGAGCTGGAATATGTGGCATTGTAGCTTGATAAACTACTCAAATTATTCAGTGTTTATGAAATGTGTTGTTGTTAACTGCAATTTATTTTCAATTAAATCATCATTTTAGAAATACTAAGAGACAACACTATACCTTTTCTGCTAGTAAATGGAAAATATTTCCCCTGTTCAGTGCATATTGCTTATTGTTTTTATGTGTTCTACTCTAGTCCATGCCAACAACCTTTTAGATATTCACTCATACTCAAGACTCTTCTTTTCAGGTCTTGCAACTTCAGATATGCTCATTAAGTTTTTGCCGATATGAACAGGAATATCAGCTCAGAAGCAATACAGATGACCAATAAAGTCCTGAGAGATGATGGTAGTCTTCGTGTTAAATGACATATTGATCTTAGTACAATGCACTGGTTGGGCATTAATGTGATTTCCAATTCACAGAGGATGTGTTTTCGTGTGAAAGGAGAAGTGCAGAGGCATACGGGACAGTAATAAATAAAGACTTTCTCTGGTGTGCAAACAGGGTCCAGAAGGAGAGGCTTAAAAATGGCAATAATCCTTCATCTGGCTGTTTGCATTTGGGGACAGATGTCGGCTCCCTACACTTTGGAGACAGTATGGCACCGTTAAATCATACCAATGGACCAGTCTCCCCTTCACAGCTTATTTCATGGGACAACAAATGCTGTGTTCGCAGTATTATCCTCATGGCACAGCTGCCATGCCGTTCACACAGGGTTCAGATGATGATTACAGAGCATGCTTTGGCATGAACTCTTCAAGGAGGGCAGTATTTATAGAGAAGTAATTTAGGCTCGACTCAAGATTTATGCTGCTAAGAAGACAATAAAAACATAGTCTTTTTCTAAAACAAATCATAAAGATGAAATTAAATTGATGAAAGGCTGCAAGGATTTTTCAAGGCTTAACTGATCAGCTTTTGGAGTGGTATAAAGGCTTCATCCCTATTACTCTCGGAAAAGTAAAATCTGTTCTATGCAATCTGCTGTGAATATGTCCGAGGAAGAAATGAATACCAGCTAAACCCTGCAGGCTGAGCGCAAATGCATACAGCACAAATGCTCTGGCTGTTAAAACATTTACAAAAAAAGGCCGTGTAGCAGAGCTTTCCACTCACTGGTAGAAGTCGGCTTTCTTCACAGCCTCCTCGCACCTCTTCAGGGTGGTGCTGTGCTGGTTCTGCAGGGACTGCAGGTCCGCCATGGCTTTCATGCACTGCAGCTTCAGCCGCTCGTAGTCATGACCTGCTTTTGAGTTTGGTCTATCTCACCAAGAGGGAAAAAGGGGACAACATTGTGATGCATTAAAATCTAGATTTAAAACGTTGCATGAGAGGATGAGAGAAGCGTGAGTGAGATAAATAACTTAAAAACCTTGTGCTCATGAAAACACAAGGGAAGAGAGGTGGCATTAAAATGGTATGATCACCCCTTGTTTGACAGAATTGAGCATACTTGTTTTTGTTGACGTTTTAAAAGCACAAAGCAAAATGCCTCTATTCATGGAGTGCCTACGCATGATCACTGCGCTTTCTGTAAATGTTTGTTTTGGAAAACAGGCAGTAAAGTGCATGAGATCAGAACAGTACCTGCAGTCATCGAAGGTGGTTCCAGGTGAAGAGAGCGCCAGACGTTTACGCAGTTCGTCCCTCTCGCGGGTCACATGTCTGAGCTGGAACAGAACCGTCTCCATCTTCTCGTTCACCTGGTGGCTGTCCATGTGAGCGGGCGGAGGGGAGGAGGCTGGACCGGGAGTACCTGCGGGAGTCAGCATGTCACTGGAGGCATGGGCCGTTCACAAAGCTCAAACGATGGGGGCATTAGTGCAGCTCCATCCAATTCTTTTAAAAGACAACTTTGCTTTATTGTAAACGAGGACTTAACCTCAACATACGAGTAAAATAAGAGGCTGACTGAAAAGTGTACAACTGATGTCTGCTTTCAAAAAAACTCTAGTCTGCTTTCCCTTTCTATTCTTTTAACTGAAAACGAAACAAGGAAGAAAGACTAGTTTAATGGCTCAATAGTCTCAGACTGAACTAACTTGGTCTAAATATTAACCAATCACAAGGAAGAGCTTTTTACCGCAGCTATTTAAACAATCGTCTGCACGTCCTTACAAGAAACCATATTAATCTCACTGTATTACTTCCATAACATTTTTCACATGTTTTCAGCCAAAATCAGTTTAATATGTATCGGCCTCATTGTTGTACTCATTAACCTCAGTATGTGAATATATTGCAGAGAAAAATCCCCCAAATGATAAAAGATAAAAGCTCTGTTTCCCTTCTGGTGGCATTGAACAGTCAAATCCTCTTTCCTTCAGAGAATGAAACAGGCCTGTGTGTGTGAGTGTGTTTGTGCACGTGTGTGTGTGTTTAGGGGGTAGAGGTTTTCTAAATCCTTCTCACATCTGTGTAATCACTTGCATGCGCTCAGAGTCTAAACAGGCAGCAACCAAAGACTATTACTTGACAAATATTTTCAGAGAAACCGTAGAGCCTACTTGTTTCTTTCTTTCCAGGAAAATAATGCTTTTATTTTTGCCATTTCTCCTGTCGAACCCCAGCACAAGCACCACACTCACCTAAGCTGCTGAGAGAGCTGCTGCTTTCCGAGTCCGACGGCATGGTGGACAGGATGCTGTAAGTGGACCCTGCGAGGAGAACAAAACATTAAAGTCAGTTGTGAGTGTACTCGACCATGTCTGCATTATAGTCAGATTATTATCTCCAGCATTGTATGGTACATCAAGGCCGTGGAGCTTGGGTTACATTTAGGGGCCTTTCCTGAAAAAAGGCCAGCTGGAGACATAATAAGGTGGGACTTTCCCCAACTTGGGATGACGGGCCCGGGGGCTGACAGCAGAGTGTGGCTAATTATCAGTTGGGCAGGGAGCTTGAATACTGACTAGCCCGGGCCCCAAAGAGGCTGCAGCCTCAGAGCTTCTCCTTTTATCTCCTCTGACAACATCACACAGTACCCCTGTGAAAGCCCCTTCTTTTATAGCCTACAGTGATTCATAATTAACTGTACGGAGAGGACGTCTCAGTACAACACTGAGTATTATGGAGAAGAATATTTTAGATTTATTCCGATTGCACTCAGTACAATATCATTGTCATATTTCTTAAACATTTTTAAAGAAACCCTACGAAAATGTTATTGTAAAAAACAAAATGTAAATAGAAAACTGACAGAAGTATCGTTATCAGATGTATATAGTAAAGTCTCCGATATCGATATCTGACTCAAAAATACAATATTGGTCGGGCTAAAAAATGTTAACTACATACACATAGTGGTTAATGGTTTAAATCTATACATGTAAGCAAACATTACAATATATCCATCACAAATTACAAGGGCTCAAAGTAAAGTTTGTCCTATAAAGAGAAAAAACAGCAAATCCTCAAATTTGAGCGGGATGAACGAGAAGGTTTGACTGAATTAAACAATTAAAAGGATTTTCAAATGTGTAGTCTATCTGTGTGTCCCTTGTTGAGTCGTTTCAACACTTCTCCCAACTGTTAACACTTAGTCAGAAAAAGAAAAAAAACTGGATTTATAAGATGCTCGAGATATTTAACATACTGTTCAAGCTTTTGATCAAACAGCAGTGCACATTTACTGAGATGTAACTTGGCTGTGGGATGAAGAGCTTATAGTTTAGTTAAACCAGCAACTCCAGCCCCCGATGTAAAGTCTAGTGCTCGACTCGGGAGTGCTAGCATGACAAACGCTTCTATTTACCCACGTCCCAGTACTCTAAATCAATCCCTGGCTGGCAAGTTCCCACTAGCTAAAGGAGACTATGAGTTTGATTAAGACTGGAAGGAGCCCAGCTAACATGGCTCACCCCTCTTTTTCCCAGCAAAGGACTGAAAGAAAAAAAAAAAGAAGACTGATGTGCCTCAGGAACCGTGGCATCCCATGGATCAAGCTCTCTTTGTTCTCGCTCTAGCTTAAGTTTCCCATGACTCTGTTTGAGCAGAGACTGTCTCAATGGGCAAGGTTCACTGTGTCATAGCTCACTCACTCACTTTTCTGCCCGTGTGGAAGTCATGTGACATGGACCTCGCTGTGGTCTGACCCTCGCCACTCAAGGATCTTATTTAGGTTGATCTCTTTTCTGAAGTCACAGCAAATGTTATATATATTCTGACCCACGCAAAAGAAAATCTTGCAAGGCTGAAAACTTGAGCACAAACAGTGAGTGCTGATTCATAAAAATCACATTTAGAACTCCGTGTGATAATGTGATAATGAATTAGAAAAAAAAACGAAATTACTGTGCGTTTTCCATGAAAATAAATGCACGTTTTGACTCGGGTCTGAAAATCTACAGTAAGTTAAAATGTTTTAAGTTAAAAAACCTAAAGAAATACACTTTTTATACATGTAATAAGTAACATATTCTTATATATTGCCCCTTCATCTCGTGGGCGCTGACCATTTAAATCTGTATTTTTTCAACATTTAAGAAAAGTTATCTAAACTTGTTAATGTTCATCTGCAGAAAATATGACCAAGTAAAGCGTGCAAACTAATGATTTACTATAATGATTTTTCTCTAAGGCCCTTTTGCCTTTATTAGATAGAGAGAAAGGAAGAAAGAGAGTGGACAATGTTCCCAGGAAGCATTTGAAAGGCTGGCCGCTGCAATAAGGTCTCAGCCTTAGTTCACAGTGTACCTGCTTTACCATGTGAACTACCTGGGTGCCCAGAGGTCAGCGATCATTAATGTGCTTTCACAACTTTAACGTGTTAAACTCATGTCATGCATTTGTACACTTTCAGACATTTGGTTACCGTCTGACTTCTGAACTAGCTTTATCTATCAAAGAGTTTAGATTTCCTTTAACAACATAACCCAGCTCTTGTTTTCTATATAACAGACATTTCAACTCCAGTATTATTTTTGCGGCACAGCCAAGCGAACACGTCAGCCACGATACACACCCTGGCAATTTACTGCAATCAGGTTATTGTTCTTCAAGAAAAGGTTTGAACATGCTGTAAACAAAAGACCTCGTATGTCAAGCCCTGAAGCTATGGTTATGTAAACATACTATTACAAAAAAAAAAAACACACCTATTCATGTGCATTGCATTCACATCACAGAGAAAATGTTGCAGCCAGGTGGTCTTTCGATAGGCTACAGGTACAGGTAGCATCTCTGTTGTAAACATTTGGATTTCATCTGCTGGGGTTAAATGATGCAGCTCTCACTCATTAACATTGTTTTGATTTTGATGATCCTAGTTCTCTCGCCCTCTGGGACTCTAGGCGTCTGGGGAGATCAGGCTGCTGACGATGCACATTATTTAAAAACATAGCCTGTAACAAGCTACAGTTCTCCTTGGGAAGGCCCTTCTCTAGCCTGAGCAGTGGAGGAACCTGTCTGCCCAGTAGCGAAAAGCAGCTCAGCCCATTTGCGTCCTGTGTGACTACCAACAGGGAACTGCAGACGAGGAAGACGAGCACTAAACATGTTCGTTTACAACCCTCTACTGCGGCATCAGTACTCAGTTTTAAACCTTAGTGCACAATTGTAAAATGTGGCGCAAAAATGAAACAGCTTAGATAAATAGACTCACTCTGCAGCGTTCTTACTCTTATAAATAATGAGGACAGAATAAATGCATAATTAAAACCTCAATCAGCACACCGAGTATTACATGATAGCTGAAAGCGAACAAAGTAACTCATTTCCTTTGAAATGCAAAAGGTAGAGGTGTAGAGCAAGTAGCATGCACTTGCATTATTGCTGCTGATTATTGCATATATACACATACATTCTGGCACATACATCCAAATTGTCTTACACTGAATTTGATGAAAGATTGAGGAAGACAATATATATTTTTAGACGTCCTCATAACAGAGCAGCGAATGTTGTATTTTTCTGAGCGAACAGCACGAAAACCAACTCTGTATTTGCTGCAGAGAAGATATATATCCCAGAAAGAGACTGAGAAATCCATCATCTGAAAAATGTCCTCATGCAAAGAAAAGAAAAATGTAAAAAATAGCTAAATTGAAGTAGATTAGATGAGGGTAATAATGAGCTTTGTAGGTGGAATGTGTGGTATGTTAGACCATTCAATCTGATGTTAATGTGTAATATATCCTTTTCCATAATTGATGGTGCACCCACAAAAGTGGAAACTCAGCAGACCATGAAATTGTTGGATGTCCCCATTTAAAAAAAAAAGTATTAAAAGAGGTTATTCTGAACATGATTTACTACATAAAGTGCTTACTGTATACTGCTGAAATAGGAAGATGGCTAATCGAACAGCTGATCCACAGTTTAAATTGATTATTGAGCGAAAGAAATGCAAAACCGTTTCCAGTTATAAAAAGTACAGATTACAAATGATCAATACAAATATAGAAAATTAAAAAGCAACTAATTTTTTGAGGGAAAAGTGTTTACATTTAATAGAGCAAACGATCCAGCAGTGTATCAGTTAATACAAATAATTTGCTGCAGCCTGAAAAGCATTTAGAAGATGTGGGATGGGCATTGTTCAATATAAAACAAAACAGTAATAGATAATGCTGGGCAAAGATAAGGAAAATAACTGTGCTTGGTTTTGTAATAAGACACAAATGAAAAATTCAATAGCCTACTTTATAAATCTCACTCTAAGTAAGTGACTGTTTGCATTAACACACATTTCATTCTTCACTCATTCATTTGACTTTGACAGTGTGTTATTGATTCAAACACACACACACACATAACTTCAGGCAGCCATGCAGTCACTACATTGATTGTCTGAGTCTTTTTAGGTCCATTAAATACTTTCACAAAGAGCTGGCAGGCTGTGCTTTTAGTGACATGGAAAAGGGAAACAAGCACAGTAGTGTGAGTGTAAATAAGCATCAGGTCACATGATTGTGAAGCCCTCTCTCTCCCTCACTCTGTATTCTTGCCCAAAGGAAAAGTCCTGCCCTTCATCAAGTTGTCATATGGTCAATACTCCTAATGTCGGTTAGATCATACCCAGAGCAGGATCGAAACCAGGTTGGATCCTAACCAAAATGTACAGGACACAATTCCCTTTGACACACCATAAAAACACAATATACAAGCATAGCGTGCATGCTTCCATTCTATATCATTTACTTTTCAGCACGACAACGCACTGCTTCATTGTTATGCACCAGATACATAGCTTCTTACCAGTTGTGTGGTCCACTGGTCCGGAGCCATTGAGCAGTACCGAGTGCAGGTGAGGGTGCGTCTTCTCCAGGGCCGTGCAAAACTCGGCGAAATGGTCTCTCTCCTTACTTATCAGTATCTTCAGGAGAAGGTCCACTTTTTCCGCGTTGGAGGAGCAATTGTGTCCCAGCTCGTAGCGTTCAGACTGGCTGAGGGTCCCGCAGTGAGCCAAAACATCCACAACTCGGTCCGCATCTGTTATCGACTCCACCAAGTTCTGGTAACATTTCTCCAACAACTCTTTATGCTTGGGCTCCATCTCTGTTTAGCTCCGCGTCGGTTTAACCAGCAAAATCAGCTTCGGGACAAATCCAGCTTCTTTACGTTTCTAGTGCCTAGTCAACTTCACTTCGTGCTACTGTCGTAACTCCCTGAAACTATCCCCTTCGGCCCAGTCGGGACGGTTTTCAACCCGAATTGAAGGATACACAAGAAGTAGCCATATTTGTTGCCCAAGGCTGTTGACTGCACGAAAATGACAACACATTTTCCCTACCGCCGCTCCGTCCTTCCCGACAAAAAAGACGGCTCTGCCTCTTTAAGCTCCACTCCGCACACGTTTCGAAGACATTGTAGTCCTGAAAACAAGTGATTTCGACATGTTGGAAAGTGTTTAAAACTCCCTAAGAGCCCTCGCTCTCTGTGTGTTAGGCAACAAACTCCGCCATGTCTCACCGTTCAAGCAGCTGTAGCGCTGTGCCAATCATATTTCCGTGCAATGGACATTTAAGGTAAAAGTAGGCGGGGCTTGTTTTAGACGCACCTGGTTCCCTGTCGCTTTAATCACATAAAACCATATAAGATACACCACTTTGGCGCAGAGATAATTTAGTTTAAAAGTTCTGTATTTTAGAAAAAAATGTTGGTGCTTGTATTTTGGTTGAGTGATTCCTTTGTTTTACTATGTTGCTTTATGTTCTAGCCTACTCCACAACATTTCAGGGGGAAATCTTGTACTTTTTCCAAAAATGTTTGATAGTTTATTTATAATTATGATAAAACAATAATATTTTTGATATATTATTCTGAAATAGGTCATTTTGCATAATAAGTACGTTATTACTGGTAATTTATATTTTAATGGTTATACTTTTGATATTTAAGTAATGTTTTAAATGCAGGGCTTTTACTTAAAACAAAAATATTCGTACACAGTGGTATTATTTATTACTAAAAGAGTGTCTTTAACCACTGTGAACATCAAATATTGTGCAATCTTTTATTATTTTTGCTTTATTTTATTATTAATGGACTTTATGTTACTGATATGTTTGTGTAAGTCACATTGTAATGTTGTACTTGGGCTAGGTGAAGCACATTTTAACTATTTGATATTCAATATTCAAAAATAATAAAGCCAGGGCATTAAAATAATCTAATCATATGTATATGGTTTTGTATTAAAATATGAATCTGTAAAGTCATTAGTGACTAAAGGCAGTGGAGTAAAAAGTACCATGTTTCCCTATAAACTTGTGTGGAGTAAAAGTGTAGTATCTAAGTACTTGAGTATGCATTTGGATGATTTCACTACTGTGTTCAGAGATGTTTTATAAAGTATGTTCCTTCTTAATGCATAGAGTTTTTAAATTATGTGTACATTCAACTGTCAGAAATACTGATATTGACTTCACACAAAAACATCACCAACACAACTGGCCTTTACAGTACATCAACCAGAAGAGCCAGAAAGAAGATTATTAGAAAATTATTTAACACAAAATTAAGTAAAAAATGTTTTAATGCCTAGTATTCCCTCATTACTTCTTACAACTCTCAATTTCAAGCTCTCAAAAACACAACAGCAAAACTGTTCTTCGATTCTATGAGAGGAAATTTGCGTTTTTACAGCCAAGCTATAAATATTACATCAAAATATTCAATGAATCGTGTTATTGACACAACACATGAATTATATGGCTCTGAATATGCTCTTATATTAATAAAAGCGAAATCCTTTTTCATTATTTTTTTATCTCAAGAATATTGTATAGCTCCTGATGCGTAAGTATAGTTGCCTGTTCCTCATCTGGATTTTCCCCTGACACATCTGCCCCGCTCTGTGAGCTTTCTTCTGCTCCACATAATCCATCAGATCTCTGAGGCCGACGTCACTTAAGACTGATATCCTTAAGACTGAAATGCTCTAAAAGCAGACAATGAAGTCATGTATAAGATTATCTATATGTGCTTATCTAGTCTCAGTACAGACAGCTGAACTGCAGAAATGCTGAAAGTGGAGCTATAATTAGAGCTTGTTCACCATAATTGCTGCTTGTGGTCTTTATTATTGAGGGGATTCGGTGTATTGCCCTTATGAGGATTGTGACTCTCATCTGGAGCTAGCTAGAGCACACCGGGTCTGGCTTTAAAGCTTAATACGGTACACAGTGTGCCTATACATTTCCCCACTTAAGTTTAGCACAGCTTTCACAATGCAAGTGGTTACGTAACAACTCAAATTATTTATTTTTCAGCATGGGAAATCCATTTGGCGCTCACCAAGAAAATAGCTGGTATGTTTAGGAATTATGTTGACTCTTGAAACACTCACATTGGATTGAAATCAGAGGCTCTTACACTCTTAAAACCTCACGCAATGAAAACACATAAGTGGAAGTCATTTATAGGGTAGTAAGTTACTTTTGACAGAAAGTGTGCTGCTTTTGTTTTAACTGACTGCAAACACTATTAAAAGCAGCCGGTTGTTCAGGTTGTTAGGGCATATTTGATCAAATATTGGAGGATGAACCTCAAGCTGAGTATGCTGTAGCTCTGCGGGCTGCTACTGATATCTGCTGCTGCATCTCATGTGTTGTTCATCTAATCCTTTGGTTTTGTAATTTGCTTATATGCACTCATGAAGTTTAAAGCAGGATTATGTCCCTGGCAACCAAATGTCCCCCAACTGCAGAAAAACAATCCACTGCAAATCAACAATTTAGTCAAGGCTTACTTATACTGATTGTCTATGAGACAGTATTAACATTAGAGGCCAGTGATGGGGATGTGCATTAAGGTAAAACGTGGACTAATCTCAATAAAATTGGATTTTTTAAATTCAGATTACGGTTGAATCCATCTGTGAAACAGTTGACGAGATACTTCCTTTAGGTATTTCATGTTCATTCTTGTATTAGAAGTTTTCTACAAAATTACTATATCAAACAATAATTTTATATTTCCATATAATTTGGTATCCAAGTATTAAAACAACTATTTCATAATTAATTTAGTCACCCAAAAAGTCCTACCAAAATCCTATATATTGTCATTTAGAGTAAGAGAAAGCTCCAGAAGTGTGAGGGCTAATTCAAAGGCTGACCTTCACAGCTCCCATCAATGACGCAGACAGACGCTGTCGATAGACACGACTCCCATACGCACATCTGAGATCTCCAATAAAACATATGCCTGCATCCCTCGCATTCGTGTGTATCCAAGTGTGATCAAGTCCCAGAAAGGGTGCATCAAGTCCACATGTAAATAATTAAAGCACTTTTTCTAAAAATCAAGGATCGGGAAAGTGTTCTGTTTTGTCTCTAAAAGTGAAAGCCAAATGGGAGGCCCCACTGATTTCCTCTTGACCTATATATTTCAGGAGGTATCACGGCACACAGTCTGGGCTAGAGAGAAAATACACAAACATCAAATATTCATCCCTCTTTGTTCTGGTGCGGGCTTTTCATTTTGAGTGTGTGAGAAGTAGCTAAATGAGAAAGGTGTAGAAGAAGTGAGGCTTGGTGAGGTCATTTGTCTCCCCAGCACAACCCCTCTGAGGCTGCACTTTGAGGCAAGCAAGCAAACCAGAAAGAAGACTTTAGGACATCCGTGTCTCCAATATGGACCCTATTTATAGCCCTGAGAAAAGCTCTGTGTGCCATATCACTTGTGCTGCAAAGCAAACCTGGGCATGTTCTCCCCCCTCTCAGATTAAACAGCAAGGCACACGCACATACTTCACTTATGTAAGCCACATTACTCGCACCTTTTACAAAACGTGCAGCTTGTGATGCTCTGAGGATGGGGGGCGCCTCACTGGTACAGACCAAGGTGGTTAAAATGAGGCTGTCTTTGAAATGCAAATGTCTCATTGTGCGTCGGCTCAGAGCAAAAAATCCAGTCATGTTTGATGCAAAACACATGATTCCATTTCACAAAGAAAATCCAGATATGCCAAAATGTTATTATGCTTTTTTTAATGAAATGAAAAGTGGCTGTTTTAAGTCTCAATAGTCTGGGACTAAAATGTTGGAAAACTTACATAGCATCCATTCAATTTATACCATTAACATGTAACAGCGATCATTGCAGGGTAGAGTTAGTGCAACAGATATTCAGTTCAAGCCATTTCATGTGAATCAAGAGCCCTCTACTGGTAGTAAAACATACAAACCTGTAAAGGACACTTTGAAAAAAGTTAACAAAACATTGACCATTGAGTAATGTAAGTATGGCATTTCTGCAGTCGTGCAAGGATGATTATAGATTGTTTTTTTTTTAGATTAACCACAGTTAAACATCGACCAACTGAAGTTTATACGGCGGCCCTGACAAAAGGCACAACATGATCTGTCTTTAGGCTTTGGCTTTTCAGCATTCAGGAAAAAAGCAACCATGTCTGTAAATGTTCAACAATGTTTGGAAAGGTTTACGTTTACAGAAGAGTTTTGTAAAGCTGATATAGAAGATATAAAGTCAAAAGCTGAATTGCATAGACTTGCAAGCAGCAGTATAGAGAAAAAATAAGAATGCAGATTGTTATTTCTTACATTATATAAAATAAGCCAGAATTGAATTTTGGCTAGTTGAATAAGCATTAAATGATTATATCTACTCTGTGTGAGATTCAGTCATACATCATTTGATAAATCTTGTATAATAGTCTCCGACAAGCTGGTATATATAAACTTGTACACAGTTGAAATGATTGGCGTGAGGTAATTTTTACCATAGTTACAAATAATCAATGCATGTATAACGTAATGGCTTACATATGTACTTTGTAAAACCAGAAATTTGCCTCATTCTGTATCTTTAGATTTTCTGAAAATATATTTTTTAATAAAACCAGTCAAGCTGTTTAATGGACAATTTAAATACTATACTATGATATAATTAATTTCTAGTGTGTGATTTTCAGGCACCCACTTTTTATTTAGGACTTCAACCCAAAAATGTCAAAGTGATCTACGGTGTCTTTATAAAAAAAAGAAAAAAAAAAAAGAAAAAATCATATTAATATATATTTACTATTTGGCAATCTTATACTACAATACTGTAGAAAAAAAAAAAATCATGCCACTGAAGAGAATACAAAACTAATATTGATTGACTGCATGCATCAGAGGTGATATAAGCTCCTATAACATTGTTTCAGTGGGGACATTTATTTTGTCCCTATGAAGGCTTATCTTCATTTCCTTTAGTCTGTGCCTCCACACAGCTTCAACAGCAGCTTCTGGTAATCACCGGAGGTATCACCCTGAGAAACGAAACAAAAGGAAGTATGAATTTTAAATGATCAGACATTATGAAAAGGAAAAGGTGTTGCTGTGTTTTGTCAAAATAAGTTGGTTTGTAGGACTTACTGAGATGTGGGTGTACAGGGATTTTCCATAAGTCCTCACATACGCCTGTCTGATGTCCAACATGTCAATCTCAGAGCGAGACACCATGA